ATGCACTGCTCAATGGCGAAATAGCTGTTTTTTTCATAAAAAAAACAGAGTGGGATTAGATTATCTAATTATAAAATGTTCGTAATACATGTATATTTTGAGGAGGGACCGGGGTGGGGTGGAGACACATGTATGAATCAGAACACAGGTATGTCAACAAAATTGTGCTTTTATAAAAAAAAAGTGAAAAGACCAGCTAGGCTTTAACACTTTAGGGGAGGGGTAAAGTGTCTTTGCAACTAAGGTACACATAGACAGAGATAGGAGCCTAAAGACTCTTCATACAAACTGGCCAAAACTAAACACCAAAGTAAATCTCAACATTTATTATTCATAAACATTATCCAGATAGAACAATCTATAAATTTAATATGGATCCATTGTATAAAAGAAAATAATAAGGATTTTTACAAACCACTATTGCTAGACAGTATAAGAACAAGATAACAAAATTCCAATCATATTTTTTTCATATAAACAAAAAATAAATTAATACTACACTTAACAGTACAGTTATACATACGACTTCAATCAAAACATATGCTGTAGAGTACATAATGGAGATCTGTAATATCTAGGATGCTGGTAGTCATGCATAAAACCTAGTACTCTAACATTACAACAGAATAGAATTACATTCTGAATCTCACAGATCCCACAAATTCACTTTCCACTTTTTGTTGCAAGGAAAGAATGTTTACATTCTGTTTTGGTGTTTCAGAAAGTTGGTTGTAAGATGCATTTTAAAAAAAATATTATATTAAATACATCTTTTGCAAAGTAGAATACTAATCATGAATACTAATCAACTTTGTCTAGAGTTTAATTGCAGGAAAAATACCTCTAAACATCTCATTCTTCCCCCCACCCCCTTACCCTTTCAATGTTCAAAAGCTACCGAGGCTTTCCATTTAAGTATAAACAAATTATTTTATATTGATGTAAGACAGTCTTAATACATAACATGTAGACTATGATCCTATTTTTGACAAATTTCAACTTGCACACAGGTGTGCATTGAGATTTATATCCAATGCACCAGATTAAAAGTGTTAACGAACTGTTGCATATAACAAAGTGATTAACACATAAAACATATAATTCGGTATGTATCTTCAAGGTATTTAAAAAGTCAATCCCTTGTATATTTTAATTGCAAGAGCTAAATAATTCCAAATTGGCAACTTACTAGTCATAGGTACACATACATGTATATTGCAAAAAAAAAAAAAATAAAATTACCAAACATGATTCTGAGACGCAAGACAATAGATTAGTACAATTAACTTAATATATAATTTTAATCACAAGAAATAACATCTCTAGAAAAAAAAATAGAATTGGCACATTGAGAGAGGACAATCCTAACTATATTAACCAACTAATAAAAAATTACAACCTCTCAATTTTTTCTGGAAACTTTTGAAATTTATGGATATTTCTGTCAAGATTTTAACAAATATGCAGTTCATTCTGTCATAACAAAATGAACACATATGATAACATTAATGAATAATCGCAAGGTTTATGGATACAATATTGCAAAAAATCTGAGTATTGGTTACAAGAATACATCTAATATATCCTCACAGTACAATTCTCTGTTATTTTTGGACTTTTTCAGTAAGGTGTGGCAGTTTAGATGTTACATAATTAGCATCTGAATTTTTTCCGCCTTTCATTCACTGTTGAAATATACAAGGGATAGATATTCGGACTAATGTCAATGAGTGTAGCAAAGATCTAATGATAGCTATTCGTACGGCAAAAAGGTGGGGCTTAAGCTGTCTCTTTGTTGTCAATAACAATTTAAAGTTGCCGATGGTAATTTTTTCTTAACCAATGAGAATCTACATTGCCATTTGAGAGACGCTTTTTTACGTAGTGTTGAGAATGCCACACTTTACTGAAAGTCCAAGGATGAGAGAGAATTGTACTATTTTTTTCTTGAATAAATTGAACCTTTTTTTGTACAGGATGGAAAAAATGTTAAAATATAAAACCAAGATAAGTTCTTTTTTTTATCTTGAATCATTTACCCTTTAAAAATTGAGTAATTTTCATGAAAAAAAAGTCATTAAATGTATATCCTTTGATGTACATGTATAAAAAATCAAAGATTATAATACTGGACATAAATTCACAAGAACAATGGAATATGGATCCGACAATTAGTAAACAACGGTATTTTATTTATCAAAATGTAGGGCACTTTGTACACAAATGCAGTACAAAGAAACTGCTTGCAAAAGACCTGAAAAGATTCAGTAATTTGACTAATAAGTATTACATGTAATTTTGCACCAAGGAGTAAAATCTGAGACAGTGTTATTGCAAGTTCTTAATACAGTACTATTAAAATATTACCAAATGCATGTTGCCAATGCACTGTAACACGAAACCATACATTATATAAGTATTGTGCATGGTTCTGTATGTGTGTGGTACATGTACATCGTATATGCAATTAAAGACTGAATCATCTTACTTGGGTAGCAATATCATTACAAATAAAAATATTGTAAATTAATAAACTTCATGCATATTTTTTACTATTGAAAATATAAAATCTATATATGGCAAGGACGAAAAAAAAATATATGACATACTAAACTGGTAAAGGACTGTCATGCTTAGTTTTAATTTGAGCTATAACAAAAAAGGAAAAAATCCTAATATGTGAACAAATTACACAAGGAAGAAAAAAAAAAGATAAAACAAAATAATCACAGGTTTTGCTGTCGTAAATCCTAGCAAGAAATTAATGGGAATTCAAAACTAATTTGAATATAAGATGTATAAATATTGGTGGGTAGAACTTTTTTACCCCTTCCCCCTTCCCCCATTTTCTTTCTCATATATCTAATCCGCGGAGGAGGGAGGACTCTAGGGTGATCTGGAACTCCTCCAGTGTACTGAGTATGTGTACTAAGTAGTTAATGTGGCTGTAATTCCTCAGAAAGGAGTTCTCCTCATACATCTGGGCCGTCACTGGGGTGTTGGCAATCAGGGGAAGTAACTTCTGCAACAGATGATCCCTGAAAGGAGGCGTGTCATACAAATTAACTGATACAAATGTCAACCCTCTGAAAAAAATTACATTCAGGAAAATTCTTTGATAATTTAAACTGTAGCTTCTAAAAACTGACTATATGATATGGGTTTATTTTCCACAAGGAAACCAAAGTCAACACAGGAAAGCTTCTTGTTGAGTTGGCCACAACCCTGCACTTGAACCTAAACCTATTTTACACCACTTTATATATGGGCACTGAGGCTAGAATACTCAGACGAGCTCACTTTTGATCACGGTCTCAATTTTTCCAAAGGAATATATAGTGGAAAAGTGAGACTGAGATCAAAAGTGAGCTCGTCTAAGTTTTATAGCCCCGACGCCTGCTCTATAAGTGAGATTGTTATACCCTTATATTAAACATAGGTAATCAGAGATTACAGAGCTCACCTCAACGAATGTTGTCTTTAAGTAAGGCAAAGTCACACAATTAACCAACAAGAAGTGTACATTCCAAAAATGAAAATATTTAAGCAATTTTAATCTGATTTTGAAATAGAACTACATAAAAAATTGAAACTAGTTCTTCTTCATGAAAATGCAATTAAAATCCAGCATCTGAAGCAAATTTGAGTGTTTTCATCTCTTGATGCAACATTTGTGCAAGTTTGGTTAATACAATGTTATATAAGCCTTATAGTTTTTTGGTAATAGACCTGCACCCATAACTTTTACCTGGTCTATTATCTGAAAATGTATGTCGAATTCAGCATCCGAAGCAAGTCCATTAGTGTGCATCCCAAGATGTATCATCCATGCAAGTTTGCTCATTATAGGGCTCATAGTTAATTGGAAATGAAACATGCATCAAAAACTAACATTTTCACTCATCAACAAAAAGTAGGTCAGATTCAGCATCCGAAGCAAGCCCAGTAGTATGCATCCTTATATGTATCATCCACGCAAGTTTGGTCATTAAAGAACTCATAGTTACTTGGAAATGAACTTTAACCTATTCACTCAACTGGAAAATGTAGGTCAGATACAGCATCCGAAGCAAGCCTGGTAGTATACATCCTTATATGTATAATCCATGCTAGTTTGGCCAACATAGGGCTTATAGTTACTTGGAAATGAAACCTGCACCAAAAACTTTAACCTGTTCACTCAACCAGAAAATGTAGGTCAGATTCAGCATCCGAAGCAAGCCCTGTAGTGTGCATCCTTAGATGTATCATCCATGCAAGTTTGGTCAACATAGGGCTTATAATTACTTGGAAATGAAACCTGCATCAAAAACTTTAACTTGTTCATTCAACTGGAAAATGTAGGTCAGATTCAGCATCCGAAGCAAGCCCAGTAGTATGCATCCTTAGATATATCATCCATGCAAGTTTGGTCAACATAGGGCTTATAGTTACTTGGAAATGAAACCTGCACCAATAACTTTATCCTGTTCACTCAACCGTAAAATGTAGGTCAGATTCAGCATCCGAAGCAAGTCTGGTAGTATGCATCCGTAGATGTATCATCAATGCAAGTTTGGTCAACATAGGGCTTATAGTTACTTGGAAATGAAACCTGCACCAAAAACTTTAACCTGTTCACTCAACCGTAAAATGTAGGTCAGATTCAGCATCCGAAGCAAGCCTGGTAGTATGCATCCTTAGATGTATCATCCATGCAAGTTTAGTCAACATAGGGCTTATAGTTACTTGGAAATGAAACCTGCACCAAAAACTGCACCAAAAATGTTAACCTGCTCCAAAAACATTAACCTGGTCATTCCTTTGCTGAAATTGCAGCATCTGAAACTTACAATGTTATATAAGCCTTATAGTTTTTTGGTAATAGACCTGCACCCATAACTTTTACCTGGTCTATTATCTGAAAATGTATGTCGAATTCAGCATCCGAAGCAAGTCCATTAGTGTGCATCCTAAGATGTATCATCCATGCAAGTTTGCTCATTATAGGGCTCATAGTTAATTGGAAATGAAACATGCATCAAAAACTAACATTTTCACTCATCAACAAAAAGTAGGTCAGATTCAGCATCCGAAGCAAGCCCAGTAGTATGCATCCTTATATGTATCATCCACGCAAGTTTGGTCATTAAAGAACTCATAGTTACTTGGAAATGAACTTTAACCTATTCACTCAACTGGAAAATGTAGGTCAGATACAGCATCCGAAGCAAGCCTGGTAGTATACATCCTTATATGTATAATCCATGCTAGTTTGGCCAACATAGGGCTTATAGTTACTTGGAAATGAAACCTGCACCAAAAACTTTAACCTGTTCACTCAACCAGAAAATGTAAGTCAGATTCAGCATCCGAAGCAAGCCCTGTAGTGTGCATCCTTAGATGTATCATCCATGCAAGTTTGGTCAACATAGGGCTTATAATTACTTGGAAATGAAACCTGCACCAAAAACTTTAACTTGTTCATTCAACTGGAAAATGTAGGTCAGATTCAGCATCCGAAGCAAGCCCGGTAGTATGCATCCTTAGATATATCATCCATGCAAGTTTGGTCAACATAGGGCTTATAGTTACTTGGAAATGAAACCTGCACCAAAAACTTTAACCTGTTCACTCAACCGTAAAATGTAGGTCAGATTCAGCATCCGAAGCAAGTCTGGTAGTACGCATCCGTAGATGTATCATCAATGCAAGTTTGGTCAACATAGGGCTTATAGTTACTTGGAAATGAAACCTGCACCAAAAACTTTAACCTGTTCACTCAACCGTAAAATGTAGGTCAGATTCAGCATCCGAAGCAAGCCTGGTAGTATGCATCCTTAGATGTATCATCCATGCAAGTTTAGTCAACATAGGGCTTATAGTTACTTGGAAATGAAACCTGCACCAAAAACTGCACCAAAAATGTTAACCTGCTCCAAAAACATTAACCTGGTCATTCCTTTGCCGAAATTGCAGCATCTGAAACTTTGACTGGTACAATGAAACACACTAGAACCATCTTCCATGCATGTCTAATCAATATAGGACATAGAAGTACTTAAAAAGAAAACTGCTCCAAAAAACTTAACCTTAACCTGGGACGCCGACACCGACGCCGACACCGACGCCGAGGGTATTACATAAGCTCCCCCAACTTCGTTGAGGTGAGCTAAAAAGCTTTCTATATATTTGTTACTAATAAAAGTCCAACAAAAGAAATGTTTATTACATCGGTCTAACAATTTCACTGTTGACTGGCCTGCCGGTCTAACATAAGAATTGTTAGACCGCAACGTCACTGCTACATCACAAGTAATTAATCAACATTCGAATATTGGCGTCACGGAAATAGCCGAAGTTAGAGCTGCAAGAGTTGTCGCTACCAGCAAGGTAAGGAAGAATGGAAGAATATTTTTATGATAAATAATTTTTGTGATATAATAAAAATATAATTAATTGTGTTCTTTCTCAGCTATTGTTTTATATTTACTGATTAAGCCATAATTTTCAATATAAAGTAACTGATAAGAAAGTGTATTTTGATTAAATTTTTGAGTGAGCACTGAAGGGTAAAACAAAACAGTTATAGACTGGGATTCGGGCAACATACGATTTGTTGGACCTGAAGGTGAAAATGTTGCCGTTGGCCTGCGTCCTCAGGCAACATTTTCACCTTCAGGTCCAACAAATCATATGTTGCCCTCATACCCAGTCAATCACTGTATAATATTACCACTGTGTAATTTCCATTCTTAATAACTATGTATTACTAACTGTTTATCTAAAGCTTACCTTATACCGACACAAACAAATATCTGAAATTTGCCGTCCTTTCCCACAGACTCTGTGGCATTGTTGATTTTACTGAGGAAGTTACAGTAAATCCAGTAGCCGGCTTTAGCTCCATCTGTGATGGCTTGTCGCACTTCACCGGTCAGCACACTCTCAAAATGTTGCTTTACCTTTTCTGAAATCACACAATCAGAATAATGATACTAATACTGAAAGAAAAGAAAGAGTTGTTAACAAGACATTATTTCTTGCAACATCATAATTTTTGCTTAAAGGCCGAGATTTTTAACCGTACGGTTTTCTCAGGTAAGGGGAGGGACTAAATTTTACATGCGTGGCACCCCGAGGCATTGACGGTCGTGCAGACCGTGGGAAGCGCTAATCCCTATACACAAACAGTATACACAGGAAGTCTATGAGTATTACCTGTACAGCTTGCTGGCCCTATGTTCATCATTAAGTAAATTAATAAATCTCGACACCGTAAATAAAAAATATCATAAGTAATAATTGATGATAATTATAAATTCCATAATTTCAGACTTATATCTAATATCATACAAGCAGAAATCTCACCGGTCGACTTTTGTTAAAAAATCTACGGTATGTACCTTAGTACATTGTATGTCACAGTAGCAATGGCTTGAGTTCGTTGTTAAAAAAAAAAAATAATGAAACACAGGTAAAAATTCAAAAGTAAAGTACTCATCCTTGCCTGTCCCTTTCAAAATCTTAAACTCTTCATAATAAGCAATTAGAGCTTCGATCACGTCAAATAGTAACAGTTACTTCCTGTTTGTTTAAGTCGTGTGGTCCAATTTTTAGCAGATGTACATATTCTGTATCTTATTGTGAAAAATTCGCGATAATGATGGTTTCGTAAAGTTAAAATTACATACAAATATGTATGTATTTTTAGTAAATTCAGATTATAATTAAACAACTGAAAACAACATATTAATTTATTGCTAACTTACGTATTTCTTTCGAAACTATTTTTAACACCTGTGACCTTGAACGGAGGTAACAACCCCATGTAGCAAGAAATGCTCGGTTATAAAAAAGGAAGAGAAAAGAAAGAAATTCTTAAAATACTGGTCCAGGCATTTTGTTTTCAACATTGCTATCCAATACATGCAAAAAATGTTACCAGCTTATTTTCTCCTTTATGCTCTGTAATGTTTTCGCCGCGTCTCAAAACAAGAATCTTTTTACGACTGAAAACAGTCGCCTATACACTTTTCATTAGAAAAAATATACACAATCTTGATTTGCTGTATTGAAACACTATTATGAGATCATTTTCATTTTATAATGAAATGTTTGTAATAAAGATAATCATACTCAATTATAATCAGGTTAAAATTGTTTGTATCGAAATGGCTTCCTCATTACGATAGTGATTTAGCGGTAAACATCCGATGACCGAAAGTTAATTTTATGGTGGCCACGCGTGTCAAACAAGGTGAAGGAGATATACACAGGGGCTAGTAGCTGAATGTCAATCAATTTCAAGTACCCAATGATGGCCCTTAATTTATTTGATTGACAGGGGGATACAGACCAGGTAAATCTGAGGGTGGTGCTTATTATCTCGGGCTTTAAGTAAAACAACAACTGTACTTCACTTAATTTTAGCAACACCTTATTTTCACAAAATATTCAATACTGGGTAATTCTTTATGAGCCAGACAAAATTTTTTATGAATTGTGGTTATTGCTATGAATAAAAAGTGATTTACAGTACCCAGTAGGTCCTCAACAAAAATAGAAAAAAAACCAATGGTTACAATGATTAGGTACTTATACTCTTTATTGCTATTTCTTCAATGTTATGACCTTACCATATCAGAAATTTTTCAACAAAAATGTCATTTTCAAATATGAGTACATATCTATTCAGAAAACAACAAAATTTGCACTTTATTTATCCTGACTTGTTTAATATATGCACATGTTCATTTGTACAGATATTCATTCATAACATATGAACACTTATACTAACCAAGGTAGTCCCAGATGAAGAATTTGTTCCTAAAGATTCTTGATGACCTGAATCCGTACTGGAATACCAGCTCCAGACAATGAACCAAGCCCTGGTCCCCACACAATAAGTAGGTCAAATTCCCCCTCTGTCAATAAGAGGACGTTTTAGTTGACTATATACATCATCTTTCATTCAAAAGATTTTTTATATGTATTGATATGCATTGTACATGTATTAACATTTCATGGGAATATTACGTTAACTTTCGGAGTTATCCCCCTTTAAAACACAATCTTTTAGAGACCAAACAAATTTTCTGTGTATCATATCTTTCATATATAATTTTTTTTAATACATATTGAAATCAAATGTACATATAAAAATTCTACATAAAAATGTTGTTTTCCAGAGTTATTCCCCTTTAAAACACAATCTCTTAAAACTTTCAAAACAATTCCATCCTAAGGGTAATTAATTGATTTTTGTCCTAATTTGAAAATCCTCAATAACTGTAAGGAATACTGACCTCTTTTTCTGGTTTATAGAAGTGTTTGACTAGATTATTAACTGCATGCCCTAATCTCTCCTGAATCTCTGGAATTCTTAAAGATCCTAGATAAAATAAGATTTCACATAAAAATTTCAAACAGTTTATATTTCCCTAATTACATGTTTCAAATCATTTCTCTATTTGTTAAAATCATCTTCTTTAATCTGCAAAACTTTTTGAGGATGTTCATGATTCTTAACGAAAGAAATAAAGATTCAAATGTACCTTGATCAGGTGACCTCTTGGGTGAGTTTGGGGACATTCCTTTATTTGTAGGTGAGGAAGCAACTGCCAAGTCTAAATCTGGAGAAAGAGAGATACTCTATAGTTAGTGTTATCTTGTAATAAATCATCTTTCCAGAGATATATATTGCACATAAATAAGCCTGGATAATTTACACAGCAATTTAAAAATTGGTAAAAATCTTCTTGAAAAAAAGTTCAGTTCACCTAAATTACGGTACATACAACTATACATGAATTGGTTAATATTTACAGCACAAGTTAAGATTTAATTCCCTCTCTAGACAGAGCCTCAACTTTTATCTTTGAGGTTTTTGAAGTAACTCAAGTACACCGAAAATGGTCAATGAAAATTGGAAAAGTTTGTTTACCATAAGTATCTGAGTGTTGAGGAAGAAGCTGGGCCACTAATAATCTTTCTGTACTGCCATCATCCACCATTTTACCAAGCCATCTGCCACATTGGAATCTGAAATTACCATTACAATTATATGTAGGTCAATATTTATGAGATGCTTGTATAGTTAAATAAAATAGTTTTCAAAGACTTTACCAGAAAAAAATGCCAATGGAACTGATAATCAAAATTAATAAAATCATTCTTTAAAAATTTAGAGGTTGCTAAATTTAATCTAGTTGAACTTTCATGACGTCTTGATCATCGATATATTGAAAACAATAGAAATGTCAAAGTCAAAGGGAAGTCACTTTTTTATCTCAAAATCTACAATACATTCTTGGACATCTTAGTTTTTTTCTTTACTCTTCCCACTGAGTTTGAGACAACTTATTTTGACTATATATTCTTACTTGTAAAGATGCCCTGTTAACTCATTTCTGACTAGAACATATTCCACAAGCCAGCGTGGGGTGAGACCAGAGTTGTCATGTCCAATACGGAGAGTTGTCAATATCCCTAGGTTCTTGTGCTGAAATTTATGAATTAATGATTAATTCAAATACATGGACTAACTGAAAAATAATTTTTCTATTTTGTATAAGTGCAATTTTAGCTAGGTGCAAATATAGTGTTTTGCCCTAATAGATCAGTTTTGTTTAAATTTTAGCAACAAGTAGTTTTAGCAAATTCATGGCGTATTTAAAGCTTACAGTAACCTCTAATGCTGAATAAGATGTTAGAAATATTTGATTTTAGCATTTTCTTCTTCTTTTTTCCTTTTTTCCCCTTACCTCTACATTAAACTCCAGACAACCTTTAGGGATTTCTACGACCCCTGTCTCACCGTGCTGGCCAGCAAAGCTGATCCATGGATTAGCACTGGTGGTAGAACAACCAAATTTAGGACTAGGAAAAATTAGCACTTTGTATGGCACCACTGCAAACAAAAAGGATATCAAGGTAAAAAGTTATATCAATACTCGAAAACTAAACAAGAAACTAAACTGATACCTGAAGATTTCATCTACATGACTGTAGTCATGTATTATAATTTCCAATATCATAACTTTACTACAATGGGATTAAATACAATGTTTAACCATCTGTACAAGGTATTCCTTTGTACAAAAATTGATCTTTTTCTAAATAATAACATGAGTTACATGTTAATACACTATCCACATATGGTTGTGTTGATTGCATACCTGTGTTGAGAAAAGAATTGGTATATGAGAAGTAATCTACAGCATTCAGAGAAAGAAGATGAAACAAAAACTGCTCTCTCTCATCCTCACATCGCAGGAAGGCATATCTCTTGTACAAGTTCCTGAAAATTCATACAGAATGTATCTTTATAGAATAAAATATGCAAAAAAGTAAAACTGTATTCAAAATGGGTACAAAAAGTAGTTGTATGTGGTATATAAACAAGCATACAAAACACATTTTCAAAGTGATTTTCTTTTCTCTCAGACTTTAAGTAGTAATTTGTTAGGGGTTTTTTTTGGCATGTAGCGGGAAACATACAAAACATAAAATAGGAATTTTACAACATTTTACACATTGTCAAGTTCCAGTGATTTATTAAATACCTGAGTAAATCTGCATCAGACAGAAGCTCCCTGAGATGAGATGCCAGCATCTTTTTCTCAAGAGCAAGTCTGACCCAAGCTCGAGCATGCCCAACATCTGTTCTGATATCCACCATCTGCTGAACTTTTCTGAAACAACAATCATACTTTATTTTTTCTCCTTTGTACTTTTGTTGGAGCTTTCATTTTTAAATTGAGAAGCAGAGCTTGATCTTTCTAATACATTTGTTATTAGAATAGGAATATTTTAGGAAAATAGCCAATGTGCAAGGTTCTCCGGTGCAAGTCAGTGCACAAATCCATAATTAAAAGATATTTGATAAAACATACTAATTCAGATCACCTTCCCTGAGTTACTTACATGTAACTTGAAAACTTACAGTATATTGTTCCTAGTACAGTAAAAGATGGCTGTAATGATATGTGCTTATAATATATTCATGCTTGCAGCAGTGCAATTTCCTGTAGTTTAAAAATATAATTTAAACTTACCAGATATAGTAAATTGTGTATGAAATAAATCAATATTGACCAACCCTGCCACTTTGCTTTGAGCATGTTTTACAATAAATGTATGCACTTGTACCTCATGTCATAAGCCAGGGAGTTAGGTAATGGGTTGAGGGTTGGTAGCTCTATCCTCCCCGTGCTTCCCTTACGACGGTGTGTCTTTATGTGACTAGGCTGATCCTGTAGGCCCTCTGGACTCAGGGACATCACAGTCAGATCTAACAATAGTAATAATGATGTTAGGCTAAAGAAATAATGTTAATTATTAAAACTGTGCGAAACATGAAATAACAATGTTGGTGAATTCATTTAGGTTGATTAAAATGCATTTTTTTTTGTTCTGTAAAATCCAATATATTAGATGTCCCTTTCTTAAATCCTTCTTCAACAAATAAATGATTTTAATACATATGTTAACTCTTTATAATGAAACAATATCATAACTTGAATGTAAATTCATCAGATTTCCAGAAGAAAATTGCATTTCTGATTTCTTCTGTCTTTAATCACTACAGTCCTGTAATTTTGATTACAATACGCAACACTTACATTAAAAAAAAAATACAACATCATTTTCAAAAAAAGAAAATTCAGGAAACAAGTGCAATATATTTACTGTAACGAAATGAAATGGGATAAAAAAAAAGGATCACATTTCTGATGAAAATATAGATAGATGTATGTTTGATATATTCTTATAAATATATCAGAATAAATATACATCAGAATAAGAAAGTGCACGCTGAGTTTTTTTTTCTGGAAAGTAAATAAAATATTTCATTGGTCTGAAATAAAATTGCTTAAAATAAATAGTATTTCTTCCCTGATTTATAAGAAGTGCATTAATACTCATTGCATTTACCTGTACAAATGAACTATTATGGAGCCCTTTGTCTTATCACTTTATTAGCTGTTCAACAAGTTAAAAATTTTGAATTTCAAAATGCAATTTTGTTTAGAAAGTCAAATTTTGAGGAGTATTAAACATGCTAATGAAAATTTATTTCTAACCTACTCTTATTTTCCACAAAATATCTGTGACAACAAATGCTACAAGTGAACTACAATGACCCCTTCCCCCTTCTTTATCACATTGCTATGTGCAAACCTAAAGGTTGGAAATACATGTTCCACTCCTTATGCCAAGCTATGGGATCAAGACCAAAAACAGAAACATGTCTTCCTAGGAAAACAGAAGAAAAAATAGAAACAGGAAAAGAAATAGGAGTGGATCTAAGTGAATGATTTGACAAAGTGCCTAAAAGAGGAGAAAATGTTAACCTACTTGATGTCTGATTCCAGTGTTCTATTGTACAGTGAAAGATACAAAAAAAATAAATCATCATTATGCTAAACATGCACAATTTAATTAATTCTGAATCATCAAACTGCACATTCCTGTCTAGGCTTAGCTTCATATATACTTGTATCATCAGGGTTCTTATATTTACAAACCAAAAATCGCCGATTTTATAAGGTTTTCTCAATCTTAATTTTATATATATATATATATATATATCATGAACTTCCGTTTTTTTAGTGGTCTTGATAGAAAACTAAAGAATATATCATATGAAAATACATACAGTGTACATACATGTTATAATTTTTGTTAAAGTTGCAACTGAGAGCCCTAAGTAAATCACTCCAAATGCATTCAGAGCAAAAAGAAAATGCACAGTCACATTTCGGGTTTTTAAAATCACAATTCTCAATGAAAAACACCTCTTTTGAATAGTTATAATACTAAAGCATGACTTATTTTCATATTTAATATTTCTTCACTTTTGGTTTACAAAACTGACTTGCAAGTATCTCCACAAATTAATGTGAAACCATTTTAAGAAAACTAGCCAAAGTAGCAAGAATAAGTTAATCCAAAAAATAATGCGTAAAAATATAGCTGCATGCAACATTTGCATAAAATCAGTGTTAAACATGTGCCAATATCTTGATTTAGGTGATATTTAGTTTGTTTTAGAGAGAGATGTTGGAAAAATGTTTCGATATTCCAGTTTTTAGCTTAAGTTTGTAAAACTGGAAATTGTACGATGACTTCAAGGGAGAAATAAAAGAATTGTAATGCATTGGAAAAATACAATAACGAACTGAATATCATAGAAAAAAATGTTTGAAAAGAACGCAGCAGTAACACATTAAAAATGTACAATCCTTAAAACTATTACTTACTGCTGCACAGACAAAAGTATAATGACCTAATGGATGTTAAGTCTACTTTTGTTCTCTTACGTATAGGTATACGTGGGACTAAAACATAAAATCAGTCTCCTTAATATTTTGATGAAATTAACATAAACAGATGTAGAGTAACTCTATGTAGAACTGTAAAACCACAAATTTTCATGAGGGGTTATTTTTCGTTGTTTTTGAAGTATGAAGAGTCCCAAAAATTCATGTCCACCATGAAATGTAAAATGCTACATACATAACTACTCCACAATTCTTCATCCACAAAATCAAAGCCCAAGAAGAAAGAGTTTCTTCTCAAACCATGAAAATTTGACCCCACAAAAATATGTGATTTTACAGTATATGGAGCATTTTTTCAAAAAGGATATTAGAACTTCCATTAGATTTCTACATTATATTAGGCATACATGTTAACTCTCCCGATTTAGGCGGCAGTCTACCGCTTTTCACTCCATCTCCCGCCTACCGATTTAATTCAGAAATCTACCGCTTTTCTACAAAAGCTGCGTGTGGAGTATTTTTGGTTCGCTTGGGTATCCATTTTTGAAGCCACTCTCATAAAATCTCGCTAGATATCGCGTGATTTGACTCGGAATCATACAAACGCTTTTTTGTACATAGATTTCAAGCACGGATTTGAGACAACAACATAAGACTACCAGTGATTACATTGGTTACGATAAATTAATCAACATCCCTGCCATGAAAAAGGAGATACAGCTTTTAAGAATTAGATGAAAACATTTGACATCGTCTTTGAGGGAACAGAAGCTCACAACTTTATCAATAAAGTCAATAGAAATCACTCGATTGACCAAGTCATGTGGCACATCTCTACTTTCGTTTTCGATCATTGCGGGAAACATAGATTTCAAGATTTGACAACGACAACAACACAAGACTACCAGTGAACTGTGATTACATTGGTTACGATAAATTAATCAACATCCATGCCATGAAAAAGGAGATACAGCTTTTAAGAATTAGATGAAAACATTTGACATCGTCTTTAAAAGCACAGAAGCTCACAACTTTTATCAATAAAGTTAATAGAAATCACTCGATTGACCAAGCCATTTGGCACATCTCTACTTTCGTTTTCGATCATCGCGGGAAATCTGATTTATATAACGAAAGATAGGAACTTGTTTTAGATCTAGATTAAACCATGTCATCATTTGTTTGAAAGATATTGATAATCCAAGCGTTAAACAACACGCGCGCAATGCTACCGCTTTTGAGGTCTGAATCTCCCTATTTTTCATCACAATAGGTTAACATGTATGTATTAGGGTAAGGCCCTTATTTCAACCAGAAGATAAATGTCTGATCTAATGAAATGTACAGTTGTCTGTAGAATTACCTGGTGGGGCCAATCTATTGCTGTCCAGGCACTGGTTACCATAGTTACAGTCTTGGAGCTCCAGGTAATTTAACAGGTGTGACCAAAGTGCAGATTTTCCCTGAAAAAAATTGTGAAATCTTGCTGTGACTTGCAATTGCATGATCACATATACATAGTACATGTATTTCTGAACTGCTTTATCATGAATAGATGATTAAAATACAATAATCTGAAAAGATTTCTAGATTCAAAGATTTAAATACAAATTTCCATGCTTCTAAATAATAAAACAGGATTTTTTTTTAAAGAAAAAATTAAGCATATGTTTGACTTCTTTTAATCAAAAATTAACAATAAAATGTCCAGTTTGATTTTTATGCAATGAACATGCATCAGACTGAGAACACAAAATTTTCACTCTATGTGCTCTATGTTCATGCTCTACTGTACCTCCTGTACTTTACAATGTCCGTACCTTTTTGGACTGCAGGCCGTGGGACCAGATTCTCTCCAACATGTCACACAGACTGGCTATCATAGTGTTCTCCTCCACACCATTAATGTTAGCGTCCCCGTGACCTAGTTCTATTGCCTCGTGTCCCATCTTCTCTACCAGCATACGCTTTGTCTGTGTGAAAAGAATACAGTTACTTTACAATAGTGAAACTATTTATCTTGTATGTTAATTCATTGAAAACTATCTTAGTTTACATTAATGTGGTATGGCACAATTAAACACTTCATGAACATGTATATATACATGCATATGTATCTATATAAATAAAAGAAAGTACTTGTCTAATATTTTATATAATATCACAATTTATCATATCCATGAGAGAAGCTCTATACTTTCTAATGCCTAAATAATATTTACTGCTGATATCGATTCCATCATGATCTACATGTATTTATATCCAACACACATACATATCTACTGTACCTTGTTTTTGATTTCCTGGAGCAGTGTCTCTACAAATTTCCAGTTTGTCTGCATCATTCCAGCAGCGGACATGTCGGTCAGTTTGGGTTGTCTTACATGCTTCAATCTGGCATCTTGGATGTATTTCTGTAATATGTAAGTATAGACTGAGAAAACTACTGTAGATTCCTTATTTTTCGCAAGTACTTTTTATCGCGAACTGGGTCTTTAACGTCAAATCGCAAGAATTATAATTCGCAATTTTACGGTTGATCAACAGAATTAACATTGACTTCGGCACCATAAAAATAAAAGCGAGAAATGTTTTTTCGCGAGTGACGCTTCTCGCGAAATTACGCGGAAATTAATTTCTTGCGTATAATTAGGAATCTACAGTATCATACATGCAACAATTTTAATTTAAAGGATACATATGTATTTCACCAAAAATTAAAAAAATGTACATCTTGTATGTTTAAGGCAAATCCTATAGATAAAGTTGGTATCAGAATAAAACTCAAAATGTAAAAAAAATATTCCAATTTTTAAGTATGTATTTGTGGAATATATTCACCAAAAATGTAATTATTGAAGAAACAAAAAACTTCAAAGGTGGCAAAATAGAATGACAGAATGTTTAATACAGAGAATCTACAAATGCATGCATGTCCTAAATAATTTATTCTGATTTGATGCACAGATCAAAAATATACCTCTCTCTGTTCTGATGTTAGTTGTATGTGTTCAGAATGTTGAAAAGCTTTGTCCCTCTTTCTCAACATGGCACCTTCCTTTTTTATTCTGAAAAACATTCATATAGCATATCATGAAATGTTCATGTACTCAAATTTTAAACAGAATGAGTAAAGCACTGATGCCTGCTGTCCATTCCTATTTATGTGGACTTACCTTTCTACAAGTAAACATTTTTAAAACAAATTTTAAAAGGCATACCAAGATTACCGGTAATTAATGGTTATCTGATAGAAATGAAAATTCATAACACTTTGAAAAAAAAAAAATCTTCATAATTTTCATGGCAATCTATCATTACAAACTTTCAAGCACATTATACAATTCACCACCTAACTTAGAGAAAACAGGAAAATTATCCTTCATTTTGCTGCTGTAAACTTAATTATGTACATGTAACAGCTTATAAAACTTACGACTGTTGACTAATCTGAACATTCATGACGTCTTTTTGAATCTCGGGGAAGAAGCCCATCTCAATGGAAGCAGGACTAGTGAGGTTTTCCAGGGTGTGAGGCTTCGGGGAGACCACATCAATGTATACCACTCTCTTCTCCAGCATGTTTTCTACAACATGTATTTAATTAACACTTTCTAATTACTCCTGTATAAAGAGCCCATATTTTATATGTGGGATTCCAATTATCAGTATACTTACATTGTTTAACCATGACACAGTTACATGCATTTTAATTCAAAGTAATAAAAACAAAAAAAAAATTAAAGATTCCTTTGCATTCAGATTTATTCACAAAAACCTTATGCTCTATTAACAATCTTTCCATGCATGTAAAAATAAAATTTCTCCCAGTCCAAGATACTTTGTAACTAACAATATACTTAACTACTTGTATTATAGGTACAAACCTGTATCTTCAATAGTAGTACAAGGACTGTATGTGTGAGTTATATGTTCTCCTAATCTCTCCCTGAGGATCTTCAATCTGGAATCAAACACTCGCAACCCAGGCTCCGTCTCCTCGAAGTGAGATAAAATCTTGTTATCAATGAGTGTTGCAAACATCTGGGTCTCTGTAAACGAGGACATGAAAGGGAGATAACCCTCTGGCTGGTCACTTAGGAAGGCAGCCTTGTCAAAATTCTGCATGATTTCTCGGTTCGTCAGCCACGAGTCCATGTCCTGAGTTGGCTGGATGACAAATTTCTCATAGGAGCTGAATAAATGCAGGAAATGGTTGAGAAATATCTCTCGGATCATGTTGTTGAACTTCAAATGGTCTATTTGTCTTTGACCCATGGAAGAGGAATCTTTCACTTCTACATCTTTTTCTTTTTCGGACTTGTCAGAAAATTCTTCGATGGAGGTCCACACACCAGTTTTCTTTGCAATGGCTGATATTTTTGCAAAAGCTTCACTCTGCTTTAAAATTTCCATTTTTTCTGGCATGTCCACCCAGCTTTCGTTACGGGTTATGGAGGTTTCTTCTTTGTTGCTGCCAGTCTTTTTGGGACTGGGGGTTTTGCTGCTATCTCTACCCAGAGAAACTTTGTATAGATTGATTGCCCTTACAAGTTCCTCTTTGAGTTCCTGGTGGTGTGGAAAGGGAGGTAAATCTTCTGGTACATCTACAGTCTTCTCATCAATGTCCACAAAACACATATTTGCCTGTAGGAAAATCAAAGAATGGTATTCATTATCACAATTTTAAGTAAAGCATTGCCTTGTTACACTTCACTGTGAACTATTTCCCTGAATATACATTTTAACAGTTAATACCTAATTTGATATTTTCTACCTCCATTTAATATGTTGACCTAGCCAGAAAATACAATAAACTAAACACTACTAAATATTGATTAGATACTGTATACAGGGTTATTTTCGCCCCGTGTTATTTTCGCACTTTCACATCTGAAAACAAGTTTGCCTCGTTTTAAATTTGACAAAAAGATTTTTGTTTAAGATACTATACAGTTTACTTTGAATTCGCCCCGTTTTAAATTCGCCCACGCCAGACTAGGGCGAAAGGGGCGAAAATTAAACGGGGGCGAAAATTTCCCTGTATACAGTATCCTTTTAGTTTACCTCGCTTGGCAGAGCTAGCTCAGATCTCTTTTCCCTGCCATGATGTAATCCCATGATGAACGGTACAGGGGCATCCAAAAAGTGAGTGAGAGAGGCAGGCAGTATAGGGACGTAGACATGTTGCCAGGTGAAAGGGAAGGTTAGTACATTGATACACTCTGCCAAGGTCATAAGTCTGTGGTAGTCTAAAATATAGACAATTTGTTACTATTGTTCAAATCTCATAAATAATATAAACAGATTATAGACAGTAAAATTAAATGCATGTGCATGCATTTATGAGAAATTAATTACTGAAAACAAAGAAACTTAATTTTTATAATGAAAGGAAAGTTTATCAATTACCCGGGTAATTGAAAAATGTATGCAACAGTGTGATACTTGAATGGAGTACAGGACAAATATTATGATGACATGAAAATCATTAGACAACTTTTCCCCTTAACAAGATTTTCACAAATTATCTTTGTTACTTTGAGAATAAATATATTGACCCATTCATTATGAGTTACTAGGAATTTTAGGTAAAACTGTTCTGAAAAAAATTGAGTTACTTGCTCATCATTCAAAAAACCATATTCACCTATATCCAACAACAAGAGATGTTTGTAAAACACTTATGCCCCCCTCCCCCACAAATTGGAATTTTTCTAAGTCCAAAAGGGCATAAATCTATCAATTAGGGTGTGATCATACCCAAAACAGAAGTTGACCTAGATATTCATCTGACTAATCTGTATACTAAACTTCATTTCAATATGTGCAACCTCTCCAAAGAAAATGAACGGAAACTGCAAAAATATGGAATTTTTCTAAGTCCAGGGGGCATATATAACGCTGTCAATTATGGTGCGATCGTACCCAAAACAGAACTTGACATAGATCTTTATTGGACTAATCTGTATACTAAATTCCATTTCAATATGTGCAACCTCTGCAAAGAAAATGAACGGAAACTGCAAATAATAAGAATTTCTCTTACTCCAAGGAGCATAACTCTGTCAAAAATGGTGCGATTGTACCCAAAACAGAACCTGACCTAGATATTCATGTAATAATCTGTATACCAAATTCCATTTCAATATGTGCAACCTCTCAAAAGAAAATGATGGAAACTGCAAATAATTGGAATTTTTCTAAGTTCAAGGGACATAACTCTGTCAATTATGGTGCGACCATACCCAAAACAGAACTTGACCTAGATATTCATCGGACTAATCTATATACTAAATCAACCTCTCCAAAGAAAATGAACAGAAACTGCAAAAATATGGAATTTTTCTTAGTCCAAGGGCATAACTCTGTCAATTATGGTGCGATCATACCCAAAACAGAACTCGACTTAGATATTTATCTGACTAATCTGTATACTAAGTTCCATTTCAAAATGTGCAACCTCTCCAAAGAAAATGATCGGAAACTGCAAATAATTGGAATTTTTCTAAGTCCAAGGGGCATAACTCTGTCAATTATGGTGCGATCGTACCCAAAACAGAACTTGACCTAGATATTCAACTGATATACCTGTATACCAAATTTCATTTCAGTATGTGCAACAGTTATGAAGAAACTGAACGGAAACTAAATGGACCAACAGACCGACCGACAGACAGACAGCAGCAAAACAATATGCCCTCCCTTCTTCGAAGGGGAGCATAATTAATTAGATGATGTATTTTTATCATTTAATAGATTGATTGGTATAAACTTACCAGATGAATACAGAAGAATTTGATGCTCTAGGAGAACGCTGGTGAAGAGTAGAATGAGATCTTTAACTTCTAGGTATCGACACAGGTCCCACAGAGAGAAGTCAAACAAAGGGAGCTCACTCACACCTGTCAATCAAATCAGTCAAAGATCAGCTTCGTCACAGTACTATACAGCAAAATCTTTCCCTGTCTTACATAAATAGTGTGTATAAATAGCTATATATATATTAGGATAAAGAGAAAGCACATATTAAGTATATCAAAATGCAGTTTTAAATCCCAACATTCTTTACTGGGGTAAAAACATGAAAATTGCTACAAGTATATGAGCATGATGAAATAAATACTAAAATTTATTACAGAAATCATAAAATGCAATATTACAAAAAAAGAATTATTTATCAACATGATCAAACATTTGAGCTGCCTTCTTATCTTTAGAAATAAAGTTTTACAACAGAGATACATACATATGTTGAAATAAAGAATAAAATATAAATAAAATAATTTTTAAATATCAGAGAAAGGAAGATAATTACCCTGAGGATAATCACACATACATATACACATTTGTGAATGTTTATAGATTTGTAAACCACTACCCTCAAATATACATTAAAGCCTTTAAGCACCTTTGGCTTTCTATAATACAGAAATGCTACATGTAGCACTCTTAAAGCATGCACTTCATTCAGTATAATTTCATACACAAATATCCCCCTTTGTCATGGATAGTATATATTCATTTATAAAAGGGAGGTAAATCAAACACCAAGATAATACAACAGTCTGCTTTACCTTTTACCTCCCTCCAGTCCACTTGTTAGAAATAAGTATTAATATTAAGGTTAGTGAACATAACAGAACATACGATATGACATACATGTATAGCATATATATGAACTTTTGCAGCAAATATGAGTTAATCTCATTTAACAGTGTTAATTTGTGAAAACATGATTTCTCAATTGTAAGTCATGCATAAATCTTTAATGTTTACTTGAATACACTAAATTAATTAAAGGTTATCTTGTCAATAAATATTTAATAGGGAAAATTTTGCAAGGAAAAATAGAAAAAATATTAACAAGAAGTATGTGGTAATATACATTTTAAGCTATATTTCCTACAGTTATACATGGTACATGTATGTACTAATTTTCAATTGGTAATTTTCATGGAAGGAAGAAAGTTGGGAATGAATTGTACCTCTTTAAAAAAAAAAACAAAAACAAAATACTATATAAATTAACAATGAGGAATTTTTTTTTGCATAAATTTAAAGATGGCACTTGTGATCACAATTGACTAAACCAATTTCAATGACTTATTTCTCCGTCAATGTGTAGTACAAACTACTTTTAAGCAAATGGCCAATTTTTAGGGGTAACTTTCTATAAAAAATATCTATGCTTCTAAAAGACATATCCCACAGAATCAGGAGCCCTTAGAATATACATATAGCCTGCTAATAAAACCAATTCCCAGCTGAATGTTAAAATCTATTATATTGATTTAGAAGTTAGCCTTAACCAATTTTCTAAATATATTCATACCATTTGTAATTGTTGTAATAGAAACTGTACAAATATGGGAATGATACAGTTATTGTTTAAAAACAACATGGATTTTTAAAAAATCAATAGGTACTTCTAACAGAGTCTGTACATGTATCTGGTGTGATGTTTATTTCTTTAATATACATTCCATAGATGCCATGCAAGTGACTCAGTTAAAAAGACATTCTATAGATAATATAATAATAAATAATACCATAATAAGTTCGACACAATATGAAATGTGATTCCCAATAATATCGTTCATATATGCAATTTTAAGAAAATTAATCGTATTTCTCACTAATCATATACAATTTTTTTTTTTTTATGGTTAGACTTTCTAATGCTTGTATATTTACTTACTTGGTCTCTGAGTAAACACAGCCCTATAGACACCATAAAACTTCATGCTTCGTCCCGGGGGTGGGAGAGGGACCTCTGTCAGAATGTTATAAATATAACTCTCTAACGGCAGATGTGACTTAGATGGTTTCTCTATGGCTTCATACAGCTGTTTTAGATATTCCCTAGGGGCTGTAACAAATGGATACTGGGTAATGAGACAAAGACATTTGGTTACAAAAAGCATGTCAGTTTGTGAATCAAAGACTTTTATGCTCTGTCTGGGACTAGATCGTTTAGTGACTTTTGGACTGTGCCGTAGTTGTAGAGTTGACTGGTTCTCTTCCTCCACTTCCTCTTCTGGTTGTGCTCGATACATGTGTTGCAGGGTCTGCATGGCAGCGCATATCTTTCTGTCCCTGACCTCTTCAAAAAAGGTCAAGGCCGATCCAAATATTCGAGATCCATCTTCCTTCGTTATCAAGAAGGAGTGAAATCTTGCTCGTTTTGATTCCCTCTGGGTGCAAAAGCTGAGGCCTTGTGGCATGCAGAGCTGAAAAACAAATTTAAATTCAGGCGTAGATCACTTCATCACAATACCATATTTATTTCCATTATCTTAAACATGGCCCAGATCATAGAAATAGGATGGTTAGTAAAACTTACCATATATGCATATCAAAAGACAAAATTACTGTAAAATTTGGCATTTTTCCTGGCCAAAGGTATGCCAATAATTTTGGCATTATTTATTTTAGCAGACACAAGGTCTCAGCTCTTTGCGGATGAACACCAAGAAGAGTACTGAATATTTTAGCGATTAAAATTTTAGTGGGCTACCATCAAAATGCCAAAATAAGCCAAAAGTAGCACCCCGCTAAAATAACCTGCTATACTCTATATTAAGGTTCATGTTGTGAGAAATACACTGGTAGACAACATTATACATTCAATAAGAAACATTCATTTCCAGGCATCTTCCCAAGTCAAGGGTTTCTGATCAACTCCGCTCCACATAAACCCTTGAACGAATAGACTAAGACTGATGGGGTTAGAAATGCGCTCTCCGATTGGCTTCGTGCAAGTTTGCATGAACCTATCAAAATCATTGTTTAATTTAACCTGAAACTAAATCGAAAACAGAAAAGTTAACATGCAAGTTATAGTCCTAAGGATAATGTCTTTATCATTAAATAGTCAAGTTAAAGGTTTGTCTCAACTTTTTAGTTGAGTTATTTTGAATTTATTACCGACTTCCAATATTATCTTGAATTACCTGTTGAATTCATTTACTCTAATTGGCCAATAGAAGAGGTCAGTAGAGTTCAAAATGTGTAATCTCACTAGATGGAGTGATAGTATAAGTAAACCAGAGTTTTTGAAATCCACCGGTCCCACCGGCAAAACCGGTAAATATTTCAAATGTCCGGTAATTTTCTTCATGTAACCGGTCCAAAGGACCGGTAAAAAAAATTGGACCATTCCGGAGTTTTAACCTCTTAACCTGTGAATTTTAAGTTTATTTGTGAGATAGTCTAAAGGATTGGATCTGTGTGTATGATAGAATAAACTCAAGGGCTTTTACGACAGATAGTCATGATTTTTTTTTCTGTCGTATCTGTATTTGTTCAATCAGTTAATTCAATTTGTACAAAAATGTTAATTGTAGCTTTATTTGGGATACAACATATGTCAACCTAATCATTATTTACCTTTAATATAAAGAGTTCATAATCATTATTGTTAAATTAAACATTATCCCCACAACATTTAGAACTTCGTTTTCTGCGGTAGGCAGCCATGTTGGGTATCCACTAAAAATATCACACCTGGTTAATTCAGTCCGGGGATATTTGACCCTATTGATTTTTAAGGCCTATACTGGAATTAAAACATTTTTTTTGTTTTTGAATATGTGTATGCTGATGGACCAGTGAATATTTGTGTGGACCGGTAAATTTCACTAAATCACTGGTCCACTTGACCAGTGAATATTTTTTTATTTCAAAAACTCTGGTAAACCCTGTCAAACTTAGTCTGTTTGGTCAAAGGTTTATGTAGCAGAGTGGATCAGAAACCCTTGAGTTCGAAAGATAATTTCCAGGATCTATCCTTATTTCAATTGAACATGAGTTACACAATGATGTGAAATGTTCATACCATTCCGACTGCTGCATTATCGAATGGATTCCAAGGAACGTTGTCTGGAACATGTTGTAATACTTTTGATTTAAATGGACGGTCAAGTGGTGGACACTGTAAGTTATCTCCTATGGGAAATGAAATATATAATGAAATTATATATACATAATTCAGCTCATATAACACATGAACTCAACACAAATATTGGGACCAAGGCTTACTGGAAACATAAAAACCCGTTTAAATCGGTATTCGTCCTCTGATTTAATTTGACAGGGTAAAAAGACATCTTTTCTTTGTTTTCTAAAGGATAGTTACATTTGCAATTTTATCCTTGCTCTATAAAACTTTCAGAAGATTAAATAATTTCAAGCACCTGCCAACTGATCTGGTTCTAACCCCGTCGTTGTATCCAGTCCACACACAACGAAATAGTCTGCGAATCGCATCGCAGACATTTGACTCGACATTATGTTGACTCAAATGAAAAACATGGTTTTCAATTAACAATCAAGTAACATAATAACATTCAGTAACTTAAGATTTCGACAATGACACTCTGTTCACTGTTGTTTTCATTTTCATGGATTATGTTTCACTTCCGGTCTGATAGGTGGCGCTTTCTGGTTCTTCTACAGAGCTGCGCGAAATATTTTCTATATTTTAGTTTATTCACTTCATTTGAAGACTCTTTCTGGTAGAAATAAATGTTTTGAAGACCTTAAAATTCAATTAAAATCATTGAAAGTTTTCAAGAATTTAAAATTTCAAATAATCATATTGAAAAAAGCTAATATACAGGAGGAACGCTTACGCCTAACTACTTTTAGACTGCTCTGTAGACTTTCGGGACGCAGCACGAGATCTTCCGAAAGCTAATTAGCAGACGATGGGAGGTGAGATGCGATTGTTTACAACCAGTGCTTTACTTTCATGTGTATTTCGATATCTCAGTATGATTTGAACGCACTCACTATTGTTTATAATATTTACTGTGATATTTTTTTCTTTTTCTCCAGTTTTATATTTTTAATACAAGTCAGAAAATCCTTCATCAAGTGAAACTGAAAGATCATTGCAGAGCAGTCAAAAATGCAACAGATGAGAGAACAGCAGCAACCCTTTTTTAAACCGTTATCTTTCAGTGAACAAAATATA